AGGATAAAAGGCATTTTTAGTTTAATTTTAAATAGGAGACACTTTATAAATATTCTGGAAATAGAACACCATCAAAAAATTACAGATTTTCAGTAAAAAAAGTTCTTGAAACAATACAAGGGTTTCCATATAAAATTTTAAAATAATAGATTATATTTGTTCCGCTTGGAATACCTCGATATATTCGTCGGAGACCTAATATTTGAAATATTTACTTCTAGGATGTATAACATTTATATATCAGACCACGCCCTTATAAATTGGTGCTGCTCCCTATTTATTTTGAGAGTTAAAGTAGAATTTTTCAATGGCGTCATTTTCCAATTAGGTTTATCATAGGTCCTCCGTATACTCCATTTGAATTACATATATTTTGTTATTGCTCATGTGGAATATTTCCATCTGCTCGGACATAACTATATTTTTTCGTTACTTTTTTTACTCAATACAAATTCCTAGCGTTCTAATATATATTCCAATGACTGTATTGTAGCTGATCGCAAGCGTAATAAAAGCAAAATAGCCACCCCACCAACCAACTCACAGTGCTAATAAATTTCTCTTTCAATTCATATGAATTTGTTATGGCTCATCAGAATGTAGAATAAAAGTCCAGTATTATTTTATTTCGAATATTTTGAAGAAAACAAATCTCTCATTATTAATTTGAATTTTATTTTTTTTTTTTATTTTACAATTACAATAAAGTGGCTATTTAACCTAAAAGTTTTGGTAGTGGAACTAAACCAAAATTGTTGAGGGAAATTTCATTTTTTAAAGCAGAATGTTAATACTAAAAATCTGCCCGTTATAGAACATCGATTAAATATTATCGTTCTTTGAATTGAACGGATGGAGCTGAAATTCTGAAATTTCAAATTAACATTACAATCATAATGTAGGACTGTAGGTAGTTTTGAAAATGTGTACTTATGTGTACGAAAAGTACTAAATGGTACTAAATTTGGTACAATTTGAATATTGGGTAAACCGAGAGAACTGGAATCCTGAAATTGTGAAATAAAATTTCTATTAAAAATTGGAATTATTTGGAAAGATTTGGAAATTTTTACTAAATGGTACTAAATTTTGGTACAATATAGATTTGGGTGAACCAATTGGGCTGGAATCCTGAACTTGAGTGATGAAATGTGATTTCATTTATTGAAATTTATATTGATGTGTACTAAATGGGACTACAATTAATATAATTTGGATTTGGGTGAAACGATCGGGCTTGAATTCTGACAATTTCAAAAAATATTTCTGTTGGATTGTTGAGGTGGTTACATATGGAAATTTATATTATTTTGAACTAAATTTAGTTCAATTTGGATTTGGGTGAACCGATCGGGCTGGAATCCTGAAGATGGGAGATATGATTTATATTGGATTGTTGATGTGGTTACTAAATTTGGATAAACATATAGATGCATTTGGTTAAACCTATGGAGCTTGAATTATGAAATTTAAAATTAGTTTTGGAAACAAGTACAGAAGGTAATAAAATGTACAAAATTTTGTATAAATCTAGATTCGGTTGCGGTCATAATTGGTGTGGAAGTTTTGGAAATACGTACTATTAGAGAACAAAGGTACAAAATGTAGGTTTGGCGGGATCGAATATCAGATTGTCAGCAATAGAACAAAAAACATTCTATAGTAGATTTCCGGTGTGAAAATTTTAAACTTTTTTCTCTTCAAATAATTTCTACAGCCTACCTGTCATACCACGAAATTTGCAAGTTTTGAATGAATTGACATAAATTCATCCAGAGGTCAAGGTTATTGTCTAAATTTATTTGGCCCAAAGAATACTGTGCGAAATATATTCATCAAAAAAATTTAATATACTAATGAAATGTTCGTTTCTAAATAATTTTCAACTCAATAAAAAAAGATGTGTTTCTCTTCGTCATACTTAGTTGCTGGCATAGCATCCTAAACTGATCAATGTCCACATGTGTTCACAGAAATCAATCATTGATCTTTCATTTTCAATATTCGTTGCCATTTGCAATTTGTTGTCTTCAAGGGACTCTTAGCGAATATTGCATATAAACAGAATATGTAGATATTCATATGGTATGCGCCCGATTCATATTGCGAATTAAAGAACGAGATTTAGATACACTACCAAATCAAAAGTTTATTTTTTTCTAATCTATAAAAATAATAAACAAATTTTCAATTTATGTTCTCCAAAAGCACTCTGTTAATTTTTATTTCTGTAGAATGAAAAAAAATTGTTGTTTTGCTTATAAATCAAAACCGCTGATCTAATGTCGTTATGACAGATTCAGTTTTCTTTAAATATGTTGTTATCTACTCTTCAGGTTCAGTCTCCCAGCCTCCGCAAAAACAGATGTTTTTCTTTTGATTCTGTTTAATAATGGCAACGAGTCGGAACGATCCGAATTGGCCGGACTGGGTAGATGGATGGATGTCTGTGTATGAATTTTTTTCTATTAGGTCTCCAATGACGTCTCTTGTTTTTTGTTTCTTTTTTTTTGTAAAAAATACACATTCGCAATTGGATTATTGTTTTGTGGTTTTGTTATAGTATTTCTTTTTTTCTCATTCTGAGGGGTAAAAATCATTCACCATAAAATCTGTCTGTCATTTAGAATATCGTAAAAAATGTTGATTATGTGCGACTATAGCCGAATGTCCTTACACCCATACATTGCGTTTTGTTTTGTTGTTCTTGTTTTTTTTTTTTCTTTTGTACTATTGCAGCTGTGTGTGGATCTGGTTAACTGTCCGCCTGTCTGGGTACACGTCCCCACACACTCACTAAGAATTTGTAATTTAGACGCTTTCTCAAAATTTAGTTCATATTTTTCGGTCATTACCACTTGTTGGTCGTATTTTATGAATGGTAATGGCTGCGTATGTGTGTGTATGTGCACACATTTAAGTGCAATATTTCGCTAAACTGATACATTTCGTTCACATTTGTTGTATGAAATGGGTATTTAAGTGCAACAGCCATCATGCAACTAAATTTTATAGAAATAAAGCAATTAACAAAAACAATAATTTTGTTTTTTTTTGTTCTGTCTAAAATTTGTTGGAAATTTATTGTGATCCCACATATATAAATTTCAATATTTGAAGGATTTTTGATTCGAGTTCGAGAAATGTATAAAGATGGTTGTTGGTGGGGTGTAATTTAAAATCAAACGACTGTGAATTTTCACTTACTAAAACGAATCAAAATTGAATTGGTTTCAAAAATGATTTGCATGAAATACATTCAGAAGTTCTAAATGTAGTCAATTCGAATGAATAATATTTCAATAAAAATATGATAAATGAATACAAAATGTGACTGTGTGACCGTCGAATATCTATAATCGGTTAAAAGCCTTCAAAATATATACGTTGATTAATAATGTACATCTTTTAGTAATTTTCGTACATCTATAGCACGAATTTCCAAAAACATCCACCAAATGAAATTCCCACCCATTTTTAAAACAGTACGAATGTTCTTCATATCTCAGTCCTATAGTCTACAATTCACATAGCACATTTCAAGATTTCAGTTTTTTTTTTAATAATACCAAATGAGCACCATATTTGGTAATTTTCGGACGCTTTACATTTTCAAATGAAAAACCCTGTATGCTAAAATAATTCAGATATTAAAGTTAATAATAATAGCCCCATTGGCCCAGCAAACACTAATTTTACTTTTTTCAATACCAGCTAGTATTTCCAAAAACCCCTCCCTATCTCATCTCTTCAAAACAACTTCTAATTTTAGTATCATTTGCAGTTTTTCGTAAATCTTCAATGCGTATACTAATTTCCAATATTCTAGTTTATGAACACAATATTTAATGTAATAAATTTAGTATTATTTAATATTTTTTGTACAACTGTAGTACGAATTTCGAAAAACACAATCTTTTCCCAACTCCATTGCGATTCCTAAATAAATTTCAAGAATATAGCTTCTATCGTCCAACCACTCAATACCTACTGTACTAAATTCAGCACTGTTTAGAATTTTTTGTAATTTGGAAATTGTCAAGCTCAATCGTTCACTCAATACCAAGGTTAGAGCGTTTTAGTTCTTTCTTTAGACCAATATTCAGAATTCTTGGCTTCTGACGTTTTGGTATTGAATGTAGTTATTGTAGTAACACCCATCTTACTTGAGTAGGTCGATATTTTGAAACCATCAGCTTTCAAATCGAACCGATTTTAAAATCTGCATAAATATATGTTCCTATAAGAGGATAAGTCTCGAAGGAAGTATTCCAATTTTTCACATCTTAATATTCCTTCAAAACATAAATCAGGTCCAAAAACGTAACTTATAGGGTCAATCGTATTCGTACCTCTTAACTACAAACTTTTTGATACACAGCGAATGTAATATCCAATCCACTCTGATTGCACTCCTTTATTTTTGCGCGAAATGTGGATTTAAGGGAAATATTTATCCATTTCTTCTTGTACATCCCACACAGATATTTCCAATTGTAAAAAACATTATTCCCTCATTGATTTGCTATGAAGTTCTTCTTTCAAAAACTGGCTATGTGTTCACCTATTTTCTGCTAGGTAAATTTTGCCGCAGCCCTCCAATAGAATACAACTCATTTAACTTGTATTTCCAAAATTAGTATTCACCTTAAATGTTATTTCTTTCAGCAGCAGCTAATCTGGCAACATTTTTGTTTTGTTATGCTCTCAATTACTTTGTGTCGCTCTCTCGCATTTTCCAAAAAGGGTTGCCAACTTTTAGTACAATACATATTTTGTTCAATATGCGGGTCTTTACTTAAAATAATTATTAAATAAGACATAATAATTGCATTATAGACTTTTTTGATTAGTAAATATATTTCTACATCCTTTTTCAATTAAATATTTTCCACATTTTTTTTATTATGTTAAAAAATTCCAACGTACAACTTATCTCAACCACTACAAGAAGCATGGCAACCCTATACAAATAAAACAAAACATTAGTTGTTAAAACTATGTCAATCTTTAAGGCACGGTAAGCAATCAATTTATTAATTAATTTAATAAAAATTCAGTAATTTAACCAAATTTCTTTATATTTCCATATCGGGAAAGTGTAAAAGAATTTGAAGATACCTTGGCCAGAGATGAAATTGACCTGAAGGCACTGAGAAAGTTGTGCAGTAATGGTAAGTAATGCATGCAGTCGTCAGTTCAATAAATTAGGGGGTCACAAAGTATTCGCCCCCAAAATTAAAAGAAAAAAATATAAAGACAAACTTTCACGTTCTACTCCAATTAACATTCATTGTATTTCTTCATTCAAGGTGTTCCCGATGTAAATAGTTTGAGACCATTGTGTTGGAAGCTGTTGTTGGGCTATTTGGGTCCCAAAAGAGAATCCTGGTCAAGTACTTTAGCCAAGAAGAGGTCATTGTATCGTCAATTTATTGAAGATTTAGTATTGCCACCGGGTCTCAAAGAAAATGGAGACAAAGATATTTTGTGTGACCATCCGTTGAACGAGGGTCCGGATAGTGCCTGGAATACATTCTTTAATGACAATGAATTTCTTCTGCAAATCGATAAGGATGTTAGGCGTTTATGTCCCGACATTTCATTTTTCCAACAACCCACTGAATATCCCTGTGACATTGTGGTCAATAGCAAAGGTGAACGGCGGCTACATCAAAGAGTTGTACCCTCAGTATTGAAATCGGCCAATGTGGAACGTAAGGGATTGGGTGTTACCAAGGTAAGCATTACAGTATTTTAAAATCATTTCATTTGACTTGGGGTCAATACACAATTGTGTTGATAAGAAAACCGAATTTAATTGTTTCCAATATAATTTACATGCGGCCTTTTGAAAATAACAGCAGCAGGTATTTGTCACACATGTTTTTCTATAGTCAGCATTTTTTTAATAATGTTCTGTTGTTCTTCATGTAATAATGTATTTTTATATTAATAGATAAATTTAATAAACAAACGTTCTGAGGAAACCTATAAAGCAATGGAAGAAGGACAAGAGGCTCACTGGGAAGTGGTTCAACGTATTTTATTTTTATATGCCAAACTGAATCCCGGTCAAGGTTATGTCCAGGGTATGAACGAGATTGTGGGACCAATTTATTATGTTATGGCCTCTGATCCGGATCCTGAATATAGAGGTAAATGTTTATTTACAAAGTTGAAACACCAGTGGCTTATAAAGATTATTGTTTATTAGTCACTATAAGCGATAGTAAGAGAAGAACTTATTTTGGGATTTTTGGATATTGTTCATATAACCGCGATTTTGAATGTTTATACAATAATATATATTGATATTTTAATAATAATTTACTATTTTGTTTTTTCCAGAACATGCTGAGGCGGATTGTTTTTATTGTTTTACCGCCCTTATGGCCGAAATCAGAGACTTTTTCATAAAAACCTTGGATGACTCAGAAGGTGGTATCAAAAATATGATGAAGCGCTTATCTGAAATGCTGAGAGAACGTGATTTGGAAGTGTATGAACGATTAAAAGCACAAGAATTATACCCACAATATTATAGTTTTAGGTAAGTGTATGAAAGTGTTTTTTTATTCAAAGAGCTTATTTTAATAGGAATGTGTCGACATAGCTCCACGTTTTATTATGTTTTCAATATTTTAAGGAGTGCAGTACAATCAATAGTTTCGAATAAGTCTCTGAAGAGTTTTTTTTATGAAAAGACAATAAAGAATTTTATGTAAGACAACTATGTCCTCTCAAAATAATAAGATATCATTGAAAATCCAGGGCCTTTCCATAGAACAGAATACAACTACGGATAAAGGACCATTGAATTCTATCATGGAAAATATAACACTTTTCTAAAATACGATTATTGGCAATTATACTTATATTTAAAGATTAAGACGAACTTTCTGTGGTAAATATCAATAAACCACAATTATAACTTCTCGTAGAAAACCATAGGAAAACAAGATTTCATATTATAGACACTATAAAGAGTGTGGCTATAAAGATACTGTGCCTTAAATTTCTATATAGAGACTCCCGTCAACCCTCCAGTTTGTTAATAAATATCCCCAGTTTAAGTTCTAATATACGGATTCTTCATCACGTCTATAAAAGTCCCCTTCAACTCATCTATAAAGATTTTTTTGCTCGTTTAGAAATACTCCCCTCTGCTCGTTTATAAAAGTCCCATTCAACTCGTCTATAAAGACTTTTTTTGTTCGTCTAGAAATACTCTGTTCTGCTCGTCTATAAAGTTCTCATTTCGCTCTTCTACAAAGACCTCCTTTCGATTTTCTAGATCCCCTTTTGCTCTTATCTATTTATAAAGATTCCCTTCAGCTTATAAATAAGATCTCCCTTCAATTCGTCTATAATGTAGTTTAGCTCCTCTATAATGATCCTCTTCATTCCGTGAATTAAGACTCCTATTAGATTATCTATAAAGATTCTATTCTACTTGTCTATAGATACACATTCTATCGTCCATAAGCTTTCAGCTAGTCTATAAATACTCCATCCATCCCGTATTCAGCTCTTTTATAAAGTCTTCCATAGCTCGTCTATATTCGTCTATTTTCATTCGTTTACAGATACCCCATTTAGTACACCAATTCTTCTTTATAGGCTTCTTACTCGTCTTTATAGGCTCCCTTCAACCCGTCCATAAAGACTACCTTCAAACTGATTATAGAGACTTGAAGCGAGTCTATCACATGTCCATTTATATTAATTCCTTATATATTTAACTCCTTTCAGATGGATATCCTTAATTCTCTCTCAAGAATTTCCTCTACCAGATGTGGTGCGCATTTGGGATTCCGTATTGGCGGATGAAAAACGTTTCGATTTTCTACTATACATTTGTTGCGCTATGATTTTGTAAGTCCAAAGAGTTTTACTTCCTTACTATATAAATTTAATTTGGCTTTAATTACCCATTTTAGAATTCAACGTGATCAAATATTGCAAAATGATTTTGCTTCCAATGTTAAATTGCTACAAAACTATCCACCTCTTGATATTAATATAGTATTGACAAAGGCGGCATCATTACGATAACATTTAACAGCTTTGTATATCTGAAAGCAAAAACTGATGAATATAACTCTCACACACAAAACAATATCGGATTTAGAAGCAATCAAAACACACACACGAAAATAAATGCCAAAAACTGTGTTGTTGTTTTTTATTTACAAATAGCTTGTTGTAAAGTTCAAAAAAGAGAAATCTAAAAATATTCTTAACTATTTTTTGTATACATATTTTATATTTATTTCCATAAAAAACAAAACGAAACAAATCTCGAAAAACTATCAAATAAATCTTTTTTCTAACGAAAAAAATATATACTTTTTTAAACGTAAAAAATGTGTTTGTTTTGTAGCTAATATTAGTTGTTCATGTAATAAACTATATAGTCATACAGTAAAGGAAAATTGGTAAGATCGAGCTAGATATTTCTCAAATAACATGCCTCGCTTGTTTTTTATTGTATATTTCTATTGTACTTACCCCACTCCATATTTAAAAGAAAAAATCAAAATTTAATTTTTGATGTCGTCTAAAATATTAAAATTTCCTCTCTTTAATTTTTATTTGTTTATTATTTTTTTATCGTTAGCATTCATATACACATCATATACATAAGTTATGTTTTAAAATAAATTTTCTATTATATAAATGTTATGTATAGTATTATTTATTTGATAACTTATGTAAATATTATGTAGTATGTATGTACCAAATATATATAAGAAAGTTTCTCTAAATAATTCTCTATAATTTATTATTGTTTATTATTAGTATTACTGACTGACTGATTTAATTTGTTTTAAAAAATATATGTATATATTAATATAAACATATATATTTTTTATGTAATGTGTTTATAATAGCTATTTACATTTGTTGTAGTTATTTGTTTTTTTACTGGAATTTATTTTTGTATTATTTACTTTTTATAGAAATGCATTTTATGTTTTCTTTTAAATATTATTTCATTGGATATTTTGAGTACTAATTGTTGTTGTTCTTGTTTGCTATTTAAATTGAATATGCTCCGTTTACTGTTTATTAATGCTTGTAAAGATTTGTTCTTT